TTTTTTTTTTTTTTTTTTTTTTACCCCCTCTCAGCATAGGGACCTTTCTGTTGATCGTTCACACAAGTAACAGAAGCTTATCAGGAGCAGGACTGATTTTTTTTTTTTTTTTCGTTCGGATGTCTCATCCCATAGGGGCTTGCTTTATATGTCAGTCTGAGGTCTGTCAGTGGCCAGATAGAATGACCAGGCTATTAGCTATAGCCCATGTCACAGTTTCTGTGTGCCCTGCCCCCACCTAAAAATGGCCCTAATGGTAGCAATTCCCATCAGGACTTGGAGGCAAAGGTTTACAAAGGTGTACATTAATACATCAACATCATCAATACATATAATAGGGGTTTGTAGAGACTTATCTAAAGTCAGGCTTGGGTAAGGGTCTCAATAATGATGACCTCCGACCCAAAAGTTTTCCTCATTTTGATGCCAAGTCTTATAGAGATCATAGTCACCTGTGCAGAGGTATCTAAAAACCCAAGATATACAATTATTTTCATTTCCTCATTGAATTTTAATTGTAACATAAGGCCTTTGGTCCTCCCTAGTGACAGAGGAACTAGGCTTAATCCTCCATCTTATTTATTTCTGTTAGAAGAACTGGCCAAAGCTGGCAGAGCCTTCAGTCATTTGTGGAGCCTCCACCATACCAGGTGCAAGCATGAGTTCAGCCGAACTGCCTGGTAACATGGAGGTGGGCCCTCCTATTTTAGTTTTCCCCTTACTATTGCAGCTGCAACTATGTTGCTACTCAATTATCTTGGGGGGAGCAGTTATCAGAGAATTCCAGAGAGGGCTGCTAAAGTCTCTTCAAGGTCGCTTAACACAAGCTGTCTTAAAGGCTTTTTACTCCATTTTTTTCTCTGCTCTTTTAACTCTTGATTTGCACTGGATGTTGCAAGGTGTTCTCAGAGCTGGGGACCTGCTTAGCCCCTCCAATTATCTCTGGTTTTATTGCTGGAGGACTTTGAGCAACGGCTAAGGAATTGTTACCCTAGCCCTTGAATCCTCCATCTTTACGAATCTGCAGGTGAGCGTTTTTTATTGCGCATCATGTTCACAGACTTGGCTGCTCCCTATGTCACTCATGGCCACACATAACTGCCACACATCACTTTCCAACTGTTACGCTTTTTGTGGAGCTGTTATGCATGCTTCAGCAACTAGCTGGCCTTCAGTGGCCAGCTGAACAGCCTGGAACAACGGCCATCCTATGGCTGCTACTGCTCTCCTTGCTTCTTTTCCATGCTTATGAAGGCATGCATCTACCCACAACCAAGCTCTGCAGCTTGGCATTTTCAGGGAATGCCCATACTCACGCAGTGGTCAACAAACATAAAGCATATGGTCAGAACACCTCACACAGAGGTTGCTGGCCAACCTGGGATTTCCCCTGCAGAGGCCTCACTCCCACTGTCCATTTCCTCAGTCTCCTGGCTAGCTTGCCAATTGTTCAGGCATAGACCAGTAACTTGAAACTTGCCTTCAAAAATGGAGGGTGCTGAGAGACTGAAGAAAGAGGTGGGCAACTCCAGTGTGACAGTGAAAGAGTTTATTAGGAAGACTTACAGATGAGGTAAGTTCTGGGTGGCTGCAGTACCAAAGCAAATCTCTGTACCCTGCAGTGGGAAGGCAGAGATTTTATAGTGGTGGTGGACAGTAGTGGCTCCATGCCAGGGGCTTACGTAAGAATGTAAACTATAAAGAACTGGTGGACCACATGAGGGCACTCATGCTCGGCCTTGCAAAGCTTGTTTCCTCTTCAGTCCATCCTCTAAGACCAGCTCTTACAAACTGGCATGTTTTCTCTCTTGTGCCATGGTACAACAGACCCCTTTGTGGAAGTGAGACCCCTTTGTGGAAGTGGGGTTGGCCAGGTGCCATGTGATGCTTGCACATGTGCAAGAGACAGAGAAAGTTACTGTGTGCCCAGAACAGGGGAAGGGCTTCTCTGATAAGGAGAAGGAACTGGGAGAGAGAAGGCAAACCAATTCCCAGCCTTCTTATCAAAAATGCTCTGGTACAAAGGCCTGGATGGGAAGTGTAGAGGCAGACCATTCCCCCAACATAACTACTATTTCTTATCCTCTGCATTGTCTCTATTTCCTCTGAGAATCTTTTTGCTTTTCCCGGCGATGTTCCCTGTAGAAGAGTACTTAACACTTAATTCTTCTGCCCCCAGTACGCTCCTTACACTTGCCTCAGTCCTGCCTGGTATCTCTAGTCCAGATTGCCTCTAATTAATTGCCATAGAAGTAAACCTCCAATCTTACTCTGGCATGGAAGATATATAAAGCAACGTTACACGAATTGCAGTTCGCAGTCTAGTGCCATTCCATGAACTCTTCATTATTGGTTTGTGATGAGATAGGTATAGAAAATGAGTTAATTGTTAATCAACTTTTATAGAATACGGCATTACTGAGATTCAAAGGTGCAATCAGTGGACACATCTTTTTAAATAGACTGGGCAAGAGTTCAGATGTATTTCATTTCATGTTTCTAAAGATTAACTTTCGTTATATTTAACTGAAATATTGGTCTGTGATAAAATCATTTTTCTAAAAATTCATTTTTACTGTATTTTACTGAAGTATTAGTCTGTAAGAAAGAAAACTGGTCCTTCATGTGGATGATTTGAGAAGCACTGATCAAGAAGCTACGTGTTCCTTATTAAGACCTTAAGTGACCAGGCATAATTTAGAAGAAACCACAAATAAAAACTCAATAAATTCCAAAAAATAGAACTTATGTCAATCACATTCTCTCACTAGCGCAAAACAAATCTAGTGATACATAATAACCAAAACCAGACCAAACTCATTGCCATCGAGCCAATTCCGACTCATAGCACCCTATAGGACAGAGTAGAACTGCCCTATAGGGTTTCCAAGGAATGGCTGGTGGATTTGAACTGCTGACCTCTTGGTTAGCAGCTGAGATCTTAACCACTGCACCAGTAGGGCTCCAGTAATATACAACAGAAGTTGTGTAAATACCAGCAAAGAAATATCCATAATAAAGAAATACTACATTCCTAAAAATATACGGTCAGTAAATGACAATTGCAAACATATTAGGTTAAAAAAAAGAACAGAAAAAAAACTTATAGAGACATTTAGTGTCTGCCTTAAATGCCTTCATAATTTAACTAGTAAAAATGAAAATAAAAGATGTCATTGTATGACTGAAAAGTAGGAGACAAAAACAGCAACAGAGGTAGTAATTTAAAAATATAAAAGAATATTATCTATGATTTTCTATACTTTAATTTAAAAATAAAAATAAAATTAGCAAGGGATAGTACAGTTACATTTTACCCTGGAAGAGGAGGTCACACATTAAATTAAGTTTCAGCTTTATGCATTATGATTTAAAAATAATATTCATTACTGCTGAATATCTAGAAGACTGTACCCAAAAAGATGAGGTGTCTAAATGTCAGGTCACATGAATAATGGAAAGAGAAGGTTCAGTTTGTCATCATAACTGTCTCAAACATCTCTGAAGCAGGATCAGATTTTCTGTGTGACATGAGATAGAAGGCATGAAAATCACAGAGAGGCAAATGTCAGCTAAAATGAGGAGAAATAATAATGAGAGCCGAGCACAATAGGAATGTACATTTTGTGAAATCCTCAATACTTAGTCAGCAGAGGCTGGTTTCCCCCAGAGATACTAATGAAAGAATTTATGTACAGGTTGGAGATGGGACTGGATGGCCACCTATGCCCTTCCGTATGTCATATTATGCAGTTTAATGATAAGTTTGAAATTGTGTATCTCCCTCTTCTTAATGAATTCAGCGTGGAAGGCCATATAGACATATTCTCAAACTTGAAGTAGACTAGATGGCTGATTATTCTTTTTCCATTCATTCTTGTAGCTTACCTTCTGTGTAACATAATCAGTGATTCCCAGAAGTGGTCTGAAAAGGCATCTAGAAATGCCATTTCTGGAGAATATAAAAGAAATTAAGGTCCTTACAGAGATGTGAAAAGCCTCAATTAATACAATAATAGTCTTGCATTATGTATGGTTTCATATATTACATATGGTTTTTTTCATATTATCTACTTGATACCAAAACCCAGTGAAGTAGGAAAGAAAAATTGTATTATTCCCATTTTAATATAAAAAATTAGATTCAGAGAAAAAAAAAGTGCTTTCTTAAAGTTATGACCTAACCAGTATCTAATTAAGTCTTCTAATTATACATACAATGAATTTTTTCCCCATTATGTCATAGTGTTAGATCTAAGTCATCCAGGTTTGGGCACCTCATTTTAAGCTGGGTATAACCTTAAGCAAAGAATACGTTCAGAGGAGATTGTGGGCAGACAGTCCAAATACAGGGCAAGCAATGATGGTTGTTAAGCCTTTTTTGAGAATTACAACTTTAGAGGAAGAACAGACAGAGGAGGAGAGTTATCTTTTATTTCCAAATACTTTGTTATCTCCCTAAATCTTTACAACAACTCAGAAAAGAGCCTATTAATATCCCTTCTTTACGTAGGAGAACAGTAAGTCCCCAGAGTGTCAAACAACTCATCAAAAACCACAGTTATAGAGATAAATAAAATAGATACTCCCATAATTAAAACAACTATGGATCCATATTTTTATTGACCCATATATGTGAGTAAAATTGAAAATAGTTCTAATTATAAAGTCTTAGGAAAAAACCCAGTCTTCCCAATCATTTTCCTAATAGCAATCTGGACATCTTTGTTCCTAAGGCTGTATACAATGGGGTTCAACAGTGGGGTGATGATGGTATAGGTCACTGTCACCAGCCTGTCTTTGCCTGATGTGTGTTTGGCTGAGGGCCGCAGGTAGACAGAGGAAGCACAGCCATAGTGAACAATAACCACAGTGAGATGGGAGGCACAGGTGGAAAAGGCTTTTCGCTTGCCTTCAGCTGAGGGGATCCTCAGGATAGTGCGGACAATAAAGCCATAGGAGATGCAGATGAAGATCAAGGGCACAAGAAGCACAAGGACTCCAGCAATGAAGATGACCAGTTCATTAATGTGGGCATCAGCACAGGCAAGGCGAATGACAGGGAAAATATCACAAAAGTAGTGGTCAACCTTGTTGGGGCCACAGAAAGGGAGGCTAAACACCAAAGTTGTCCCCACCAGAGATATCAGGAAGCCACCAATAATAGAAGTTACTGCCAGCTGTCCACATACCCTCCAGCTCATGAGAACGGGGTAGTGCAAAGGCTGGCAGATGGCAGCATAACGATCATAACCCATCACTCCCAGAAGAAGGCAATTGGTGACAGCAAAACCAAGGAAGAAGAACATCTGAGTGGCACAACTCATGAAGGAGAGTGTCCTGAGTACAGAGAACAGGTTGATAAGCATCTTGGGCAGGATAACAATTGTGTATAAGGTCTCAGAAATAGAGAGAACACACAGAAAAAAGTACATGGGTGTATGGAGGCTTCGATCCAGGAGGATGACTGAGATGATGGTGAAGTTTCCACTGAGAATGATCAAATAGAGAGTGGAGAAGACCACAAAGAGGACAAGCTGCAGTTCCCCAAGGCTGGAGAAACCCATCAGTAGGAACTCAGTGACAAAGGAGGAATTGGCCATTGAGAGTTGATCCCATGAATTAAAGACAATATGATCAGGTTCAGAGACCTTTGAAACAGAAAAATAAAGGAGAATTAACCTGTATTAAAAACAAAACAAACGAACAAAAAACTATTGCCCGTCTGGTATAAATGAGAAACAACAGGCATGGGAAAGAAAAAAGGATTGTAACTTACCAGAAATTATTCTAAACTGATATGCACCCAAAGTGCTATTTTTCAGCCATTGATGTTACCAGTGGATTTGGGGACAAGTGTTCCCCCCACTCCCATGCAGAATTATGTAGTCTCCATTCATTTTTTTGGTAATCGAATCCCCAAAAGAGTTTTTATGTACATTAATTATGATTTTAAGCGGTTATTCTTTTATCCAGATTACTGACAGATATATTCAATAAGCTATAGCATTAATGTCTGAAGACCTACCCCCACATCCTTTTAATATATTCCCCATCTAGGGCAACATCCACTTATGTGTTTTTGTTGGCTTGCCTGTAAGTAGTACAGCTCTCTTTCATGACTAATCATATAACCCATTTCTATTCAGTCATTCATTAAAATTAATTTGGTTTAGAAATACTGCTACTCCCTTAGAACTAGCTTTATAACTCTTCTACAAACTCTTAGAGGATAGAAAGTCTGGTTTCTCCTTACCAAAATACATGGCTGGAGTAGTTTAGGTTTGCTTCATTCAGCATTCACTGGTTGCCTCTTTGGATATATGTCCTCCACTGGATATACCTAACTTGGAGACTCAACAGGCTGTCATTCCTAGGAGCTGCCTCTGAATTCCTGAGTATGGAGGCTGAGATACTTTGCCTATGGCTTATGGCACAGTTACTGTTGCTGGCACTAGATTATATGTGTGAATGTGTGTGTGTATATATGTGTGTGTGTGTAAAAATACAGAGAACACAGCACTTAAACAATTGGACATTTTTCACATGTACAATTCAATAAAACCCATTATATCAATAATGTTGTGTGAAACATCACCAATATTCATTGCCAAATTCTCTGTCCCCACAAATAAAAAAACTTAATGCTACCTAGACAATGATTCCTCCCTTTCCTTATCCCTCCTGCCCCTGATAACCCTATTAAACTTTAATCTCTATATATTTGCCTATTCTAGGTATTTCATCAAAGTGTTCTTACCCTCCCTTACCAGCTTCCCAAGACTATTGCTTCACCTGGATTATGTATCTCAATAAAAAGTTTCAAAATCTTGTTAGTCATCTAAGCTGCAAATTTTAGAGACATTTTTTAATCCATTTCTTCATCCTTCTCATCCAATCTAGTTTCATTATACAGTACTTCTAGGATCCGTTCCTTCCCTTCTACAGGAATTTAGCTGTTACCTGCACTATTAGACGAGCCTTATAAATAGACTCCCTGGATTCTATCTCTTCCTACTCTAAGCCATAGCAATAGCAGCAGAGTTGTTTTTCTATAGGATAAGTCTAATCCTATTAGAAAAATGAAATGACCCTCAATTATCTATAAAATAAAGTAAAAATACTTATTATAATCCAGGTCTTTCATATTTTTCCCCAAACTACCTTTCCACTGGCAGCTGCCATTATATACTTCTCCATATGTGCATTAGCATTGATGTACATATGGAGAAGTATATAATTAGCCTTGAACTATTTTGAACAACTATATCATTTTTCATATAACCTCCTAAATCTGGAAATATTCCATGCTTTGTATTTGTGGTTATTGTTGTTCTTACATTTTTTTAATTTTGTAGCATCCTTTCAATTTCCAATTAAAATATCACATACTCATTGATTCCTTATCACAAGTTCCTAATCATGCTGTATCACTTCTCCCTCTGTGTTTGCTTAGCAATTACTAAAATCTTACTTGCTTTGCCACGAGTATTATAAGTTTGTTTTTGACTCCCCAAATTATAACCTACCAGAGATGAAAACTGTATCTCCAACATACACAAGAATGCTCAGTATATACTGAAAAACTAACTTGTTGAAAATAAATAAATGGAGAATTATTCTAGTTTCCACTCTAAATTATGTCAAACCTTATAGGTAGATGGCATATGATGCCAGGGATTTTCCAAATGTGTTCCCTGAGCATTAAGCTAGGACATAGTATTAACCTGCTTCAACAATTTGAGATGAAGAATCACTCTGACATCAATCTCTAAATATAGAGGCAAAAGATCCCTTAAATATTGCTGCTATCTCATTTTTATGTCTGATCATCAGGGGTTTCCTCCATTATCTCACATGCTATCCTTTTTATTTTATATGAAAACCACTATTATTGGGCTTGAAATGCCCCTAAAATAACTAAATTGCTAATAACAAATCTCTATTGCCTAGACAAAAGTCTAACAGATTTTCAAAAAGAGGCTAGAATCAAGAGCTTTAACTCTTATTGCTATATCTTTTCAATTGTTTCATCTCTAAACTTTATAAATAAGGAATACACTGCATGCTGTTTGACCAGAACAAAAGCTCCACTAGCACCCTTCAGGAGACACCATCTCTTTGCCTTTCCACTTTCCTGGTCTCCTGTCTTTGGTATTTTCTGTCTTACAGGATCATCCCCAGAGTGAAAGGTAACTTGGTATCCAAAAAATTTGGACTTCCTGAAAGGAAAGAAAGGCCACGTTACTTAACGACTGTCTCATGATGTGGGACACCTACCTTATCAAACTCATCCTTGGAACCTCTGTGGGAACTAAAACTTGAAAATAAAATTCATCATGGAAAACTTTGACTCCACTAGAATGCTGCATAAAATATTTGGAAATAGAAGAGAGTATCAAGAGCTTGGATGTGATATTATTATAGTTTTACAGAAAAGCTTGGGAAAATGAAAAAGAGGAAAAAGAAAACAAAAGATGAAGAGGGTAATTAAAAAACCTGTCTAACAAGTGGAAAGAGTGAATTAATATTCATTACACTGTTCAACGACTCTTCATCATCTATAGGGTAGAGCCCAAATTCCTTAAACTAGGTAATAAGGCACCTGATGCTTTATTCTCATCTAGATCTACAGCCTCACCTATTTAACATCAAACCATCATCACACATAACATCACACAGAAATGCGGCTCCCTATATATGTATTTGAGTTGCAAGAGTCCATGTTGAGAGAGAGACACAGGCAGAGAAAGACAGAGAGAGGGAGACAGAGACAGAATCTTAGCTTCCAATATCCTTTCACATTCATCTATGGCCCCCTCATTTTTCACAGTTTTTTAAGTCACCAACTGCTGAACTATCTCTAACCTGCCAAAGAGACTTTGCTGTTCTCAGTTTTTCTAAAGCTTATTTCATGTGTTCTTGTCAAAATACTCTACATGTCACATCCAAGTTATTTTTCCTGTCTGTCTTCCCAATAGACGTGTGAACCTCAAAACTATGCCTTATTCCACTTTGTATCTTCAGAACATAACCTAATATTTAAATAAATGAAATATAAGTGCTTAATAAATAAGTAGAATAGTCCATGAGTGAATTAATAATGATCCCAATTAGTTCATTTTATAGAAGACTGGTTCCCTTGCACAATACTATGTGTCTCCTAAGTCAAAACACTTTCCGTGTTCCCCGACTCTTCTGTATGTTCAATATATTTTGTTTCATTTCTTTCTAAGACTAAGACTGTGTCCTCCCTGTGAAAAATAAAAACTTGTCCTAAAGCCCTCCCTTCTTCTTGCTCTGGTTTCAGTCTTTATGCTTATTACGTTTTCCACCATCCAATTGCTCTTTCTGTCATTTGACCACATTTCTTATCTTCCACTACTGTTAACTAGGGGTAAACAGAACACTAGCTCATTGGAAAACTCAATAATTTTGAAATTTAACATACAAATAAAAGGCTGGAGTGTCACTCCTCTTTTCAACAGGAAATCAAAGGAAACTAAAGTTTAAAATTCCTTCAAATCAGAGTTCTGGTGCCCAGTGGCATGCAGGTGTCCTCACTCTCAAACACTTCATAGAAATATCCATGAAGTTTTCCTGATGAAATTTGCCAAAATTATCTCACCTGTTATGATGCTCTAGGGTTCGTCTTCCATTTGGACCAGCATAAGAAAATCCTCTACATTACTCCACAGAACAATATCACCGGTGCATTTTATCCATGGACACTTTAGAAATTGCCTCAATAGCATCATCAATGGTCTTACTTTTTTACATTAGCTGTGGCCTCAATGCCTTGGTTGGTAATTGAGATATTCACTTCCATGGGGAGCAAATTACCATCCTGTGCACAATACTTGTCCATCATGTCTCCAATTAGTAAAATCATGGTAATACAATATGAGGATTAGTTGGCCAAAGAGGAGGCCCTATCTAACACACTATGGGAATTATTTGGCTTCCTCTTAGAAATTCTCTGGGGACTCATTAGAGAGATGGAAACTTTCTGGGCATCGTTTGTGAAAAAAGACATCAATGGCAAATACTTTCTTCTGGTTTCCCTACCTGGTGCATCTAAATCCTCATTTTTACGTTGGAGAAAAAGATCCTTCTTTAAGCCATTTCACATTCCCACTTCTGAAAACTAGAAGAGAAGGAGAAATATATGAAGAATGGAGGGCAGAATGCTAAAATGGCAGAGGTAGCATACATCTTGCAGATACATAGGAAACATGTTTGTTCCTGGAATATAATGTGAGCTTGATAAATATTTTTTTAATTGGAAAACAATCATTCGTGTTTGGGGTATGGATAAAAATGTGAAAGTGCCTGGGTATAGGTTTCAGCAGAGCCCATCATCTTTGTCACAACTTCAGGTCGTTACTGCTTCATTCTATCAGTAAGTCCAGACACTGATTCTGGAAATAGGGGAAATGCTAAAAACTCGCAGATGTCTCTCTGAGGAACTCATCTGAGGGTCATATAAATCATATCAGAGAGGCTTCAGGCTTGGGACAGTAGGAAAAAAGCCCAAGTTCTTCTTTTAGGGACTTTTGGTATCTCCTCTGACCTTAATTTATGTCAAATATAGGTCCGTATCTAGGTCTTCAGGAATTACTTTGCTAGGAAGATTCAACCACAGGCTTATCTTCCTTGTAGGTATAGAGAAGATTAAAGATGGTCACACATTT